CAGGTCAGAATACTGAAATGGACAGCCATTTCCTTCTCCAGGGGATCTTCCCAACCCAGGGATCGAACTCAGGTCTCACGCACTGCAGAAGGATCCTTTACCATCTGAACCACCAGGGAAGCCCAAGAACACTGGAGTGGGTAGCCTATCCCCTCACCAGGGGGTCTTCCCAACCCAGGAATTGAACGGGGGTCTTCTGACTCACAGGTGGATTCTTTACCAGCTGAGCTACAGGAAAGCCCATATCCTAAAGGAAATCAACCCTAAGTATTCATTGGAAGGACTGATACTGAAGTTAAGGCTCCAATAAAGGCTCCACTTTAGCTACCTGATGCAAAGAGCCAACTCACTGGAAAAGACTCTGATACTGGGAAAGTTTGAAGGCAAAACGAGCAGGGGGCAGCAGAGGATGAGGTGGTTAGACAGCATCACCAGCTCAATGGACATGAACTTGCTCAAACTCCGGGAGACAGTGGAAGACAAAGGAGACTAGTGTAATACAGCCCATGCGGTTGCAAAGAGTTGGACATGACTTAGTGACTGAGTAACACCACCCACCCGAATGGTATGCTGATAAAAGGAAGCCAGACACAAGACAACATATTCTATGATTCATCTCATTAATCCGTGATGTGCTAAGTCACTTCAGTCATGTCCAACCCTTTCGACCCCATGGACTACTGGAGCCCAGTGGGTTTTTCTGTCCCTGGGATTCTCCAGGCAAGAACACTGGAGTGGGTTGCCATTTCCTTGTCCAGGGGATCTTCCTGATCCAGGGATCTAACCCACATCTCTTGAGTCTCCTGCATTGGCTAGCAGGTTCTTTACCACTAGCACCACCTGCAAAGCCCACTCCATGATAACAGAAGTCAAACAGCAGGATCACTGAGTTAGAAGGTTTCTGGGGCTCTGGTCATGTCCCACACCCCAGTCTGGGTAATATCTATATTGTATGTTCACATCATTAAAACTAATCAAGTTATACACATGATTTATTTCATTCTATTTTTAAATTTATGTAAAATTAACAGCTGATTACACAAACCTTAAGTGTTATAACAGGATCCAATCAGGAGTTAAAATGCATAAATCACTTAAAAAAACTTACAATAAAAAATCATTAATTTGTAAAAGGTAGCTGACTATTAAAAGGAGTAAGAGAACCCTAAGCAAGAGCAGCGGCAGGGGGTGGGAACCATCTACGAGACCAACGGCGAGAAGACGGAAAGGAGCCCCGCAGCCCGCTGGGCGGCAGAGCTCGCGAGGGCGCCTGCTGGACGCAGGACCCCGCCTGCTGGGGCCCTGGTGGGAACCAGGTAACGCTACTGGGACGCCGAACAGAGCCACGGAGGACAAGCATGCCTTGCTCATCCGCTCTTTAAGGGGGAGGGGAGACCAAGGACAACGCAACAGCAGGAGAGGCCCCTTCCCCTCCGCCTGGCAGTGCCCCTCCCTCACCCTCTACCGGTTCACCAACATCGTGCTGGAGAGGAAAAAAGGCTTACCGGGTCTAGTTCAAGCATCATCAACAGAGCAAAGAAAGCTGTTTACGGAGTTGAGAGGCAATAAACTGATAACCTGCATAAATGTTCCGCAAAGGCTGACAGGTCTCTGCACGCACATCCACACTTGGGCACCAACCGCACTGGAGCATTTTCACACCACCAAGTGTCCCTGCCCTCTTCTGCCACCACCCACTCCTGTTCTTCCCAACAAAGGCTACCGGCAGTGCCCTGGGGGTGGGCCGCTTCCTTTGGAGAATGCCACTCTGCCAGCTCTGCCCGAGGCCTCGTCGGGCCTCAGCCCTGAGGAAGCCCCCTCCTGGCACCCTGCACCCTGTCTGACCTTTGCTCCACTTCACTCCTCTTATTCTCTGGTTCAGAGTGAAAGACGTCGCCGAGCTTCAGAGAATATGAAGTCTGTGTATCTCAATCTCCTTGTCCTTTTAAGAGGATTTCTGAAAAGAAGAAAGGTCAAGTACTTAAAATCAGAAGTCTCTGGTCAAAAACTGTAATAAATAACATGACCATAAGCATATGGCTCAGTAAGGAACTTAAAATACTCATTGGAATTAAACAATTGCCTTAGTATATTATAGGTTTCTCCTAACAATGAAACCAATACCTACACTAAGGTTTCTATTAAAAGAATAAACCAGAGGGAACAAACCTCCACCAAATTAAATCTTTCTGCATAATTTCTGCCCAGCTGGAGCAAAGCAAATCCAAGTTATGATGGCCAATCCAAGAGAGAGATTTCAAAGAAAAGAAAGTTTACAGTCACTAACCATTACATAACCTGACCACTTCTTCTCCCATTGACATTAAATGAAATTCAGATTCAAGTAAAAAGCACATGAAAATGTAAATCAATACCTCCCTTTACTGAAATCATTCGCTGGTATATTCCATATTAGCATATTCACCAAAACTTAATTGTAAACAGAGTAATTATGGTACTAAAGTTATTAAATACACAAAGCAAGCTTGGAACTATACATATTCAAATAGAATTTCAGTGGCAGATCAACTTTTATATCTGAAACAATACCCTAATTAATAGTCAGCTCTGATAATAAAATGGTCCTCTATTTTTCAGATAACATTCCAAAAAAAGTTCTGCTATGAATATTAAAAGTTTTGTGAAAAGATTCTTAAAATTTCAATAGCTATATTTATCACAATATGGTACTGTATTTAGACAACTGGCATTTTCCAAGTCCTGGATTCAAATTTGCAATTTTTTTTTAATCCTCTGTTGAATAGAGAAAAAAAAGCTTGAATGAATCCAATAATGCAACTTACACTCAATGAGCTCTGAATTCATCATACCCAAACTGGGAAATTACAATGCTGTATAAAGCTTGTCACATACTGGATGCTAGCCATACATTTTCCCTAAAATAGGTATGTACTTGAGTTTCTCTGAGGGGGTCATATATTTTTATGAAATTTTCTTTAAAGTCATAAGTTCTCTGATGCTTTTAAACTGCACAGAGACACATTGATTCAGGATAATTTTGAACAACCTGGACTATTCATCAGGCCATTAACATGGTACCAACATATTGTTAGCTCTACTCTTTGCAGCTGAAAGCACTTTCTCGCCCCCACTCCCCATATACACTTGCTGAAAATCTTTTCCATACACAAAGATCTAGCTCTTCTGCAGTCAGACATGACCTCTCAAGTTTCAGTCCTGTTCTTACGGCTTATTGCATTTGATAAATGTTCTCTATAAGTTTATGAGCTCCCTAAGTATGAGACCTGTCTTACAATACACTGCACTTGGTAAGAATTCAATATATGTGTCAAGTTATACAGCAAAAGGTTAATAAGTTATTTTTTCCTCAACTACCTGACATCTAACTTTATGCTTAATATACATCCAAATGGAGCGGACAGTGCCACTCCTTCGAAAAGCCCAGCAATTGAAATCCATATCAAACCCTATTTAGTCTCCTCAAAACTGTAATTCCCCCTCCTAACTCATAATTCTCAACAGATGACCTCATCTCCTAGTTTAGAGAAAAAAGCCAGAAACTTCAGTGGGAGTTCCTCTATCTTTCCAAGACTCAAACCTACAAACCACCTGCATCCACTACAAGTCTAACTTTGCCTCTATCCTATCCTCCTCCTCCATCAAACACCAGCTCCTTCTTCACCTGTATCCCATCCCCTCCTACATCCTGACTAAAACTATTAACTAACCCTTCTCTCAAATATTCAACATCTCCCTCAACCAGAGCCTTCCCATCAGCTTTTAAATATGCTCATGGCATGCCTACAAAAAAAACCCAAAACCTTTTAAATTCCCCTCTGCTATCATCAGTACCAACCATCTTAAACGTATCTGTACTTACTAACGTACCCTTTCTCCTCCCTGTCACCACAACTCACTCCATCTGGATCAGGAGTCCACTCTGACCACTCTCGCCTCAGGGCACTAAACCCAAGTAGCCTTCGAATCACCTCATTCACTCTGCTCATTCCCCAGCAGCACTCAACACTGCTGTTCATCCTTTCTTTTGCTTTCTCTTGCTTTTCTTGCATTTTGCTTTCATTCTCTTGCTTTTGCTTTCTCAACAGAACACTTCCCTGGTTCTCACTCTACTGCTTCCAGCCCTCACAGCCTAGATAATTTGGGAGACACAACAGTGAGTAACTGCTCATTCTTTCAAGGAACTTGTTCCACTTTTTGATGTATATTTTTCCAGGATTGTATCACTCTAAAAAACCAGACCATCTATATTTCCACAGCTTACACCACCATACAAATTTTATAAGAATAGATTACATAAAAAGAAAGACATGCTGTTAAGTAAAATTAAGACCTCTGGAAATAAAAGTAAGATGGAGGCATATACAGAAAATATAACTGATTGATGTGATTTCCTTAAGCTAACAGATCTCAAGAGTTTATAGCCTTCAAGCAGTATGTGCACACCCATGCTCAAAGCAGCACTATTCATAACCACCAAAATGTGGAAGCAGCTGAGGTGTCTGTCCATGGATGGGTGGATACACACAATGTGGTATAAACATATGATGTGATATCTGCAGCCTTAAAAGGAAGGAAATTCTAACCCAAGTTACAATATGGAGGTACAAAGACCAGTGGTACTATTTCAAAGGTTGTTCCTATAGATGTTAATTACACAAATCTATCCACTATCACAGCAGTAAATAAAGGTCAACTGTGAATGATGTGAACTTGTGAAGGAGAGGAATGATTTCTTCATTCATTCCCTCACTCACTCAGCAAACATTCACTGATAACCTGCCACATGCCAAGCACTGCTCTAGTGCTCCTCCAGCTCTTCACTGTTCTCCAAGAACCAAAGGTCCTACCTTTGACACTTACATTCTAGAAGAAAGATAATAAAACCTACCATAATGGGAAAATTATCTAATATTTTAGAGGAGGTACACGCTATGTTTAAAGAGAAGAAGAGCATGTCAGGGGCCGAGGACAGGGAGAGCACGGCGGCTGGGGGCAGCATGTGGTGTCAACAGAAAGATCACCGTCAGCCCCCTGAGAAGGGGAGATCCGAGCAAGGACAGGAGGGGAGTGGGAGAGCTGGCCATGAGTACCTGGGCAGACGGCTGAGCGGTGCAAGGCCCCTAAGTGAGGAGTGTGCCATGCAAGCGGAGAAGAGCAGGGCGCCAGCAGGCTGGTGTGGTGTGAGCAAGGGTAAAAGAGAAGTCAGAGAAGGAACACAGGAGCGTCAGATCAAGGGGAGCCCCAGGGGCCACTGCAAAGACTCCTGACTTTAGCAAAAGGGTAAACGTGATACTAGGAACAGGTATTATACTTGCATCTTGATTCACAATCCTTCATATCAGTCAGGATGAAAATCATACTCTGATTACCCAAGTCAAGAATTCTCCCACTGACCAATTTCTCACCAAAATTTTTACATTTTTAAAATATTTCTGGTTGTTGTGAATTATTCCATCCTCATAATTTATCTCATCAATAAGCTGAACTTGATATACATCTAAAACCTTAAGTGCTTTTGTCATTAAAGTCACCTCAAGGTAGGATTGGTTTTATAAAGGATTGAAATTCATTTCTCAACAGAACAGACTAGGACGAGACCTCATCCTCCCTTTAACATGCACGTGGCGGTGATACCACAGTAAGAGGTACAACTTCGGGACAGGAAATGCAAAACTTGACTATGCTACACCTCCCTTAAAATTTAAAATAAAAATAATACTGAACCCCAACAGAACTCGATATTACAATATATAGTGTCTGCTTCATTAATTCATTTGCTCAACAGATATTTACCTCTGTACCAGGAACTGCTCTAGCAGATGGAAATAAAGCAGTAAACAAATCAGACAAAAATCCTGCCCTCACTGAGCTTATACATTATTTGAGAGAGATAATTTTTTCAAATTTGAAACATGTGCCATGTCCAATGGTGACAAATACTAACGGAAAAAATAATAGAGGAGGAATAAAGGGTGGGGTGGGGAAGCTGGGGCTGAAACTGAAATGTGATCTGGTAAAGCCGCACAAGAAAGTGACATTTAAGCAGAGACTGGTGCTTCCCAGGTGGCTTGGTGGTAAAGAATCTGCCTGCAATGCGGGAAATGTGGGTTTGATCCCTGGGTCAGAAAGATCCCCTGGAGAAGGAAATGGTAACCCATTCTGGTATTCTTGCCTGGGAAATCCCATGGACAGAGGAAGCTGGCGGGCTATGGTCCATGGCACCGAAGAGAGTCGGAGACGACTTAGCAACTAAACAACAAGCAAAGACTTGAAGGTAAAGCGAGGGAAGCCTGTCAGGCGGTGATGGAGAGGAGCAGCATCTCACGCTGCGGGGGCCGCAAGCACAAAGTCCCAGGGCCAGGGCCTGCCAGCACAGCAAGGAGGCCGGCGCAGCTGGCAGAGAGCGCACTGGCTGGTGTCAGGCACGTAAGACGGCCGGGTGCAGCCATCACGTCCAGGATACAGGCCACTGTGAGGACACTGACTGAACCTCAGTGAGGTGGGAAATCACAGCAAGGTTTGAAGCAGAGGAGTGGCGTGCTCTGACTGAGGTTTTCAAGGGATCACTCTGGTAGGCACGTCAAACAGATTTGGAAGGGGGCAAGGCAGAAACCACTACCAGTTACTACAACAGTGTGGCTACTGGAATGACCAATGCCTGACTTCATGCTTACTGACTGGTAAGAATGACAAGTTTCTGAAAACTGATTTTAAGCCACCAAAGAGAGGGGTACAGAATAACAAGAGGTTTTTCCAATTTTTTTTTTAACTTTATACAAGCTACCCACTCCCAAAAAAACAAGTCTCCAGTGCCAAGTCGAAACAATCAATATTAGTGACAGATGGTCTAGGAAACATGCTAATCATCTCTTACTCTAGATTTTCTAAGCTCTATCTCATGGCAAGTTAATTCACCAGGAAATGAAACATTTGAACTCATTTATTCCAAAGGCCTTTATAAAACACCTCCAGTATATGTGCTGGAAAATGTGCTAGGGGCTACAAATATAAACACAAATAAAATGCAACCTTTGGCTTCGAGAAGCTGCACTTAGCTTCATGCAGAAACACCATCACACAGGATTTAATACTATATCATCAGCTTCAAACAAGGATCAATAAAAAGCTCGCCAGGTAAAGAATGTTTCTCAATTCTTTGGTAAAAACTATTTATTAAAGAAAGTGAGCAGTTGCAGACATCTACAAGATCAACCTTTATTAGTTTCACGGTGGGAAAAAAGTGCCTCTTCCAGTGATGGAAGTTTTTAAGCCATTAAGAGCTATGAAACTCCTGTTTCCCCCTTTTCACTGAGTGGCAGGAAGTTCAAAAGAAAAATATAAGCTCGATTACATAACTATCATTGTGGGAGGCAGTAATTCTCAATCCTGGCTACACATCATGATTACCGGTAGAACTCTGAAACACTGAAGGCCCAGTGTTTCACAAGAGCCCCAGTGTCTTATGTTTTAATCCTGCACAGGCAGTTGTGAAGTGCAAACTGGACCACTGGTCTATATACATCATCCCTCAGTATCCTCAGGGGACTGGTTCCTCCACCCCCTTGGAAACCAAAATCCACTCAAGTCCCTTACATAGAATGGCACAGTATTTGCATATATTCTATGCACATCCTCCCATATACTATTTTCTAGATTATTGATAATAACTAACACAATGCAAATGCTATGTCAATAGCTGCCCATGTGGCAAATGCAAGTTTCACCTTGTGGAATTTTCTGGAAGTTTTTTTCGAGTATCTTTGATCCACAGTTAGTTGAGTTCACAACTGATTGAACCTGTGGATGCAGAACCAATGGATATAGAGGTCAACTGTGTTCTGGCACATCTTCCTTTCCTCACTAAGTCAATCATTTTCAATTAAAGGTTCTATTACATACAACTCTATTGCATCAGAAAATTTTAATAGAAGTCTCCTTCATTTTAGAAGTTAGGTAAAAAATATAAAGTAGTGAATGAATGATTCAGAAGGAGTCCCCCTGCCCCACCCAAATCACCTTTTTCCCATCCCACCCCAAGCCAAAAACCTTCATTCATATTTCAAACTTCTTTGAAATTAAGAAATAATTATATATTTAGTATAAATGGCTTCCTGCCAGTCTACAATAAGTCAAAGAATAAAATCAACTAGAAGATAATCAGTCAATAAGAACTTCATCACCTCTTTTGCTAAATTGTATCAAGAATAATTTGAAAGCAATACATCTAAAGACAATTCTCTTACAAATGAGCCAGCTAATCAGAAGTTGATTAATGCATCTGATGAGTGCGAAGAAATCATATGAAAAATAAAATATAGAATCTTGAGTTTATATACCCTTCCCAACAATATACAGGGTCTCTTTCATATAATTACTTCAGTTTATCCCCCCAAATCCTACAGTTGAGACAGAACTGTGAGGATGACCACAGGAATGAATGCAGTTACTACCAATACCATTTACCATCAACTAGTGAGAAGCAGGAAGGTTTCCTTTGACTTCCTGTTAGGGACACCCAATCAATCTCCTTGGCTTCCCTTGTGGCTCAGCTGGTAAAGAATCCATCTGCAATGCATGAGACCTGGGTTCAACCCCTGGGTTGGGAAGATCCCCTGGAGAAGGGAAAGGCTACCCACTCCAGCATTGTGGCCTGGGAAATTTCATGACTGTACAGTCATGGGGTCACCAAGAGTCGGACACGACTAAGCGACTTTCACTTTTCAATCAATCTCCTAGTTTCACTTAGAGAACCATGCATATCAATACAAGTATGAAAACTAATCATGGCTGTTATGGTACCCTCAGCAACACTAACAAGTTAGTGTTAGTCACTCAGTCATGTCCAACTCTTTGTGACCCATGGACCGCAGACCGCCAGGCTCCTCTGTCCATGGAATTCTCCAGGCAAGAATACTGGAGTGGGTTGCCATGCCCTCTTTCAGGGGATCGTCTCGACTCAGGGACTGAACCAAGGTCTCCAGTATTGCAGGCAGATTCTTTACTATCTGAGCCAAATGTAACACAACAAACCATGAGAATTTAGAAGTGAACTTCCATAGATAATGACCCTATCAATTCATAGGTTTATTCCTGAAAAACATTAAGCTAAACTCAAAGAAATATTAAGCTAAACTTAAGACTGTGACACAATCTTTAGAAACAATTGTCCTACTAGTCGTGTTTTCACCTAAGCTGCAAAGAACCAGGTGAAGACTCAAACTTTTAACTTGGAAAAATAAAGTAGATTATCTTCATAGGAGAAAAATTTCCTCCTATTCAGATTTTTTAAACTTGTATTAAAACAGTGATTAACATTAGATTTTTATGAACAGTTTTGGTAGAGTGAATAAAATGCTTAAAATACAGTATCAGATATACATCAACTTTTATTTCCTTTAAATGATTTCCAAAAGTTCTAAAAGAGGAACACTAACTGCAGAACTAAATTCAACTGAAAATATACAGCACTGTACAGTTTAAAACACAAGCCCAAGACACCTCACTGCCACCACTTGCCCCCAAAAGGAACAATTCATGCGGTTTCTGCTGTGCACTTCTCCTTCCAACTTTTGATGCTGTGGTTAAAAGAATCAAGTAGGTCTCCACGAATCAACCGTGAAGAAGACACTACAGTAATACCTGGAAAACTTGCTCTGCCCCAACGAAGGCATCAACTCAAAAGAAAGGGGCAAGCTTGAAAATGCTGAATTCAAAGGGAGGGGGCACCTGGTTCCTTGACCCATAAACTCTACAAAAAAGAGCTAAAAGGAATGCTTCTTTATGTAAAGAAAATACTGAAACTTTTCCAAAATTAGAGGTTTTGAACTATATTGCTAATTTTTAAAATAATATTTAGCACACTTTGACGATCTTGTTAAATGATAGATTTCCCATTAGTTCTGCTATGGCGGTGGGCGGGGGGGCGATGTGTGCAGTATTAACTACCAAACTTTGTTTACGGTTAATTCTCCAGGTGTTCACTATTAAATCTCCACAGGATAGCGAGTGAACAACATCCTTCCTTGTGTATTCTTGCAGCAGCGCTCCAAGGAAGACTATTTCTAAATACTCTAAAGAAAATTAAGATGACCAAGTAGTCACAATAAATCAGAAGAGGACTACAGTCATTTAAAAATACTTCATGAAAATATAATAAACTTTTCAGAATCCCAGAGAAGGCTTTTCTATATAACACACAAAATAAAACACACAGGTCTAAAGAAAATTAATAAATTTGACAAAATAAAAATTCTCCACAGTTTAAAAA